TCCTGTGATGTTACCGCGCCTGCATATGAATGGAGAAGTCTGACGAAAAAGAAACGCGTTACTTTCGGAAAAGTAACGGAAAGCTTTCGGAAAAGTAAACAGTTAATAACGGAAAACTAATGGGAAAAAATGCGTTAGTAACGGCCGTTAGGGTAACTATAACGCGAACGGTACTGTAGTGGCTGCAATTTTTTTCATTGTTGAGGGAAGAAAAAAGGAAACTCAATGACACAATGAAAAACACTGAATCATAGGAAAGGCTGAAAAAAAAAAACACAAAATAACCTTGACTAAGAGCTTTCAAAAGTATGCATGATGACATACAAATTTTAAAAGTACAGTGTACAATTTCTTATTACAAGTGGTTTTCTATTGTTAAATTAGGGCTACTTCTTTTCATATGATTTATGTTATTTGAAGTGTTTTGTCATATTTTGATCTAGTCCATTTCAACTAGCAATACCATACGGTATACAAAATCATATTACCCACTTGCAAAATGGAATAACCTATAAAGACATACGTACCAATTTCTGGAAATTACATATTTTCCGGAATAGGACAGTATTTTGTGACAGGAGAATTTTGTTATAGGACATTAGGAGAATTTTTCCCATAACTCCCATCGTACGGGCGTCATAAATTCTACAGGTAGCGCCTTTTGCCGTCTCCGGAATTTAGATTGTATGATATTGATGGCATGATACCAGTTATAATATAATTTCTTTGCCTGACTTATTCATGATGTCCAGATCTAATGGAAGATGGGCCATTTAGCTTCAACTTTTTGTTTCACAGAAGGAAAACATCTTTTGCTCTGTTCCTCCATACAAATAAGGTTGACCCGGACCAGATGGCTGTCACCATGGTTACTGGTACTGTAGCATACACCCTGTGGTGCTGGGTTATATTATGTAGCAAGTGGCAGGAAACAATTGGAGGGGCCGGTCACATAATATATGAATGTGTTTGAGTAAAAATAAACGGTGTAGTAGTTAGGCTAGACCATCTAAAATTATGCATTTGCTTTGGAAATGTTACCTTTCCAGAAACTCTAATTCTTTTGTATTTTGTTCTTCAAAAAGTTTTTCGAATGTCTTTGGTATTCGAGGTAAGCAGAGTTCTTTTTCTAATCCCTGAGTGAAGTTTTCAAAGAGTATTGAGGTAGACCTGGATAAACTCTTGTTAAAATTGCTTTACAGTACACTGGATGAACATGATTTGATAAATCTCGTCTTAGTCTTGTTGAGGTCCAAATTACACTCCAGTAGTGGTGTTCATGCATTGTAACCTTGACCCTCTGTATCTGTAAAGGCAGCTTCTATCCTCCCCGGCCCAATTATGTGCATTTTCTTCCACACTGCTGACTGATGTCTGTAGCCGTGTGCTCATATCAGCACGGTTCTAGGTTTGTGGTACAAGGAAACAAATTATTTCCCCTGAGAAAAACGCTTCCGCACACTTCGTCTGACATGAATGGTACTACAGATTGCTGTGAGGCATTTAATTTCAATTTGTAGATGTAAGAACAACGTTTCTCTTAGATGTGAGACAGTATAGGCCAGTAGGTGGTCGTGAAGTACCTATGTAGTTACAAGATAAAATGTTACAGTGGTGCAAGAGAAAAAGCAATCATGTACATCTAAGATGCAAGTATAATGTCAGGACTCAAAATCCAGGGTGCATATGCAGGTCAGTGTAGGTAAAATTGGAGCTGTGCAGGTACATTGTATTTCTAATGTCTACCTGCACTAACTGCACTGGTCCATGTACTGGATTGATTTTCAGATGTAAATGTATGTAGATATTTATCTGATACATTCACTGCTGTTACTAACTGAAGTACAAGAAAAATAATGGCAATGGTTTCTGAACAATGTTAGTATGATTCATACTTGTCATAAGCCTGATGAGTAGTGCCGGTAAAATTTGTCTGGTGCCGGTAATTTTCAATGTTACCTGTGAGGAAAAAGTATTTTGAGCCCTGAATGTACAAACGTACTGATGTGCACCATAGAATTTATATCAACTTGAGCCATTTTCAGCCAATCCCCATCATCCCGAGACCACACCTGTAGTGGAAATGTTGCACCTGTGGAAGTGGTATACAAGTATTTGATGATGATAGTCCATGTAGTGTGATGTGTCCATGGAGACAGGCCGTTAACATTTATAGCACGTCCTGCGTGTGTGTGTAATGCCCCGCGCACCGTGCTACCAGTTGCTCTGTAGTTACACCAGCGATTCGTCACTCTGGCAACATCCCGCGGAGCTCGCTCTTCCCGCGGTGGTGCGGGGAAGTCCCCGGCAGAGCTGTTGACGCTAACACGCCGCAGCAAGTTGAAGCGTTGCTGCAGAGATACTCGGTTTAGTTTTGTCTGGGCTGCAGCAGGTTTCCCTGGCGTGTTGCCTTCTCATCTCCAGTATGAGCTGAGTTAGTCTCCCCACTGGGAGTGGGTGTGGAACAGTGATTAGGTTATCTGGGCTGTGGTTACGCGGATATCTCTCCATACTGATGTGTTGGTAATTACTTGTTGTTCCCGTCATGCCTGCGTGTGTATCGTGTCGCTACATGTGTAAACCCTGCAGCCTACCCGGGAGCCAATTTGTCCTGTGCAGCGCACGGCACAACAACAGGTGACTGGGCTTGTCTGCAGACCTCATTATTTCTACATGTGCATGGATCATGCCAGGCTGGGCAGACCTGTGGGAAAGCAATTAGTGCGCAGCCACACGGCTTTTTAAACCCGTGGACGCGAGTCTGTAACGAGATTTGAATCCGTGAAGCGTCAGCGGCCTTATCCGATGTAGAATCAGGTGTTGGGAAGTCTGGGAACAAGATCTGAATGCAGATTTTATTAGTGCCGAGGCAGCGGGCCCTTGTTGCATCTCCACCGCGTCCTTC